AGAATTGTAAAGAGACAACATAGTAGCTAAGTCAAGCACCCTATTTTAACAAATAGCACAGGGTATTAATATTATATGAAAATGACAGCTATTTCTTTATTGATGAGGTTTTGTTCTTACAGCTTTTCAAGAATGTATCGAGATTTTCAAGAACTCCTCATGAATGCACCAGAAAGCCAGCACTTTGGCCAGGTTTGGACAGAGCTCCGCACCTCGTCCCAGCTCATGGACACCCTGCGGACTCACCCTGAGAGAATTGTAGGTGAGCTGGTCTTCAGCCTTCTGAATGTTCACTGGCCTCGCATCTGCCTCACCCATCTCGGTGCATTCCATGACCCTGTTTAAGTGACTGAGAACATGAGCAAGATGAAAGGATTGATAATTAGAGAGTGAAATATTCAACTTTAGGATTGTGAAGGCTTCCAGGCAGGATGGGGTGAGAACACGAGCCCAAGGGTGGCCGTGGGTGAAGTGCAGCAGAAGAAAGGTGCATGGTGAGGGAAAGGCAAAGGGCGGGGAGGCCAGGCTGTGGCCACCGTGCAGACACAGAGGTCATACAGGAAGAGAGGAGGAGCTGGATGCCCTGGCAGGAAGCAACAACAGGGATGGAGGGGCTCCCTCGGGTGTGTGTGGGGGGTCTCTTCTCTCCAGGGGAAAACAAGAAACAAACAAAAGCCCAACAACAGTATCAGCACCCACATGTCTTATTAAGAGTATGAGTGGATGTCGGCCTGCAGTGTTTGGGAGGGACTGGATGTGGCAGTGGAATCCGTTCCCTGAGAGGCAGGTAAATGAGTGGCTGTGAGGAAATAGAGCCCCAGGAATCCAGAGGTTCCTGCAGGTTTTTGGGTGGAGAGTGGCCTCCAAGGAAAGGGTGCTAGTGGGTAAAGATGGCTCTGGGGAGGAGCTGGGAGGCTTCCAATGCAGCAATTCCAGCAGTTTGGAGTTGCAGGGAGCTCAGGTAATGGGGCATAGGGAAAGTGACTTTTAGGATGACCTTGGTGGATAACAACAATACAGAAAGTGACCAGCAAGGGACTACCAAGAGACAGGGGCAGCTGGACACAACGGCTTCTGCTCCAGGTTCCAAACAATGGAAGCAAGAGAGTAGTTTGATTCAGGCCCTCCTCCACCCAAGCTTGTGGTACAACTCCCTAGACATTCAGCAGATACCTGTGACCTACTGTGAGCCAGGCACCAGGATAGTATCTGGGGGTGGAGATGAGCCAGGCTGTGTGCCTCCCATAGAGGACTTAGGGAGCAGAGCAGAAGTGTAACAGACAATGACCCAGCCAGTGTGGGAGCCTGGTGGAGGGAACCAGTGGGGGAGTAGGGGTGGCGGGCTTCTCCCAGAGAGAATGTAACCCTCCTCCCATCTTGCCATCTTCTGTCTTTTTTCCTGTGGAAGCAAGAAAATGCAGGAGTATGTGCAGATTGGTATGTTAAGATCCTTTAATTGCATATAATTGCTTTTAAAAATAGTAAAGCACATACTTTATGTAGTCATTTTCTACAAACTAGATTACAAGCACTACATTCTTGGCTGCTCTGGATAGAAGAGTTTATTTTAGTTAGTTCAAATTTGAAGGACCCCAAATAGTGGAACATATTAGCATTTTAATAGGAAGAAAACAAAGGACACACAACCAGAAAGTGTTTTTTTCCAAGATTAAACAAGCAGATGAGCTGCACGTGGGCTGCCCAACTCCTGGAGCAACTCTGCACCCGCTTTCATCCCGCGGAGTCTATGATGAGGCAGACTTTTCATTTAAGTGTCTGATCATCAAACTGAATCTGGCTAGAGGAAGTGTGTAAGGGAAGTAATTCCAAACCACAATCTCTCTGTGGCTTTACAAGTGTATATGAGAATCAAAATCAATATTGCCTAACCCAAGAGCAGGACTAATTGTGAATTGGCATGCAGGATGCTCTTTCTGCGGGCCTCCAGGCTGTGGGGAGGATTTCTTAAAGGAGAGCAGGCCTGGGGACAAAAGGTTAGCGAAGGCCAGCAGAGCTTCCCCAAAGTCTGGGAATAGAATCTACAGAATTCCTGAACCTCATGGCTATGAACAGGGAGAGGGGTCCATCCCTAAGTAAGGGACACCACATCTGAGGGGATTCCAGGCCAGGAACTGAGATCCACTCTCAGGACGCAGACAGTTGAGAGTTCCCTGGGAAGCTTCACTGAAATGCTGAGTCTTTGAAAGCACAGTGGGTGGTGAGACTGGGGTGTGCTTTCGCCTGTAAGCTCTGGGTCACCTGGGAAAGTATGCCGGCCATGGCCAAGCAGCATTTTCCTTTCATGGCAAACCTGTAGTGCTGCATTCTCAGCAGGGGAGGATTACCGTGAAAACCCAGACAGGAGGAGGGGCCGTCCCCTGCACCCAGCAAGCTCTGTGGTCTCCCATCCCCTCTAAACCCCCTCTTCCCACAGCCTCATGCATTCTCCTGGCTTCCTTCCCACCCAGCCCTCCGCTCCCCTCCACCCCGCCCCCAGCCTCTAATCTTCCCAGGGAAGAGAACAAGAAGAACCACATTTTAAATGAAATGTACTCCTCTCTCCTCAGGCCCCCAGTTCACATTACTCCCTCTGGAATCTAGTGAACTTGCTGCCTGGTGTGGCCCCTCTTACACTTTGGCCCCGCCCCCTCCTCAGGTGGATGTTGAACCTGCAGCTCCTGCCCTTCTCCTCAGGGTCACCGCAGGCCAGTCACCTGAGGTATATTGTTGATTTTGGGGCAAAAATGACTTCCAGTTCCCTGTCTCTGCCCCTTCTCCCTACAAGAAGGTCAACTGAATGTGTTAAAGAGTAACTAAAAGATAAACAGTCAAATGGGTTCTGACTCTCAGGTCAAATCCAAGGGTATTTATTGAGTGCTTTGAGTCATTCAACAGACATTGACGGAGGCCTTGATTCCGTATCAGGACTAATGCCGGGTATCAGAGAGAGGTGACCTCAAGGACTTACCTTAGTGTGCCCACCACCTCTAGGTGAGATGAGGTGTGTAATAAAAGCAGGCCCCAGAGCCCTTAACTCTTAAAAGGTCATGTGCTCCTATAATCCTGGCTCCTTGAGAGGCTGTAGCAGGAGAGACCACCAACCCGGCATCTTAGCAAGACTATCTCAAAATAAAAAGGCCTGGAGGTGTAGCTGGGTGCATGCCTAGCATGTGCAAGAACTTGAGTTCAATCTCTAGAACTGGAAAAAAAAAAGGCTCTGTGTGTGTATGTGTGTGTGTTGCTGGAGTATCTAAGGCTGTATAAAGGGGTAATTGGGAGAAGAGCAATTGAACTGGTGCCCCAGAGGGAGCAGGAAAGCAGATGGAGCTGTTTGGAAGATGGCAAGATTTATATATAAGAGGAAAATACAACTGGTCTTTTCAGAGCCCTCCTACTCCCATGGGATCCTACGTTCAGGTCGCCCAAAGCCTTGCATTTTCCTGTGCAAAAAGGACTAACAGTGGGCCAACCATTGGCACAACCCCAGGGGACCCATTAAGGCCAGAAAGGCCTTTGTAGGGGAGTCTCAGGCCCAGTTACCCTTGCCCTACCTCAGGGCTAGGCCTGTGGGGTTGGCCTATATCCCTTTAAGAGGAAATTGTCAGCAACATTGATCTGGACAAGGTGTTGTACAGGGACAGTCACACAGAAAAATGGAAAGAAAGCTGTCAGGCACTCAGGGGGCAGCGTCACAGCTGCCTGGGGAGGAAGAATGGGGCTGGAGAGAGGGTGGTTTGCAGGAAGGAGCAGGGGCATCAGATCATTAAAGCTAGTTGGAGAAGAACTAGGAGCTAAGCAGTGAGCCAGGCTCCTGCAGATCATGGAGGTACAGATAGGCACTTTGCCTTCATGTTGAGATGACTTCATTAATGTCTGGCCCATAAGCTCGTCTCTGGCCAGTGCATCTCATGAAGTATAGCAGGGGCCCACTTGAGGAATCTCATGAACTGAGCATTAGCCCCAGGAGGAGGCAGGTGCTAGTGTAAAGCCCCTGGGAGGGATAGGAAGAGTATCAGTGCCCCCAGAACAAGCATCTATTGAGACTGTGTTCAGGCCTGAAGCTAAGCGTTTCATATTCTTTAACCCATGTCACCCCACGAGGATCCCATGAGGTGGATGTGGAGAGTGTGGCCACAGAGAGCCCCCCACCCCATTATCTTGACTGTTATAAGTTCTGTCTGTCTCCTTATAAGGGGATTCCTGCTTCCAGCAGGTTTTGAGTGAAGCTGGAGAGAATGTGACTGAGTCTGACCAGGACAAGCCCAGGCAAGAGGCTGGCTCTCCTCTTTCCACTTGAAGCCTTTCTTGCCTTTCATACCCCATCCCCCTTTGTCCACACCAGTGTCCTGAGCTTGGAGCCTGAGCTGAGAGTACAGAAAGTCCAAGAAGGGTCCTCTACCCCATGACAACTGCACTGTGGACAAATTACCTATCTCCTCCAATCCTAGACCAGGATTTCTCAACCTCAGCACCATTAAAATTGGGGGGCCAGATAATTCTTTGTTTGGAGAGGAATTGTGCTATGTACTGTGGAATGAGCACTGCCCCAGCTGTGACAACCAAAAATACATCCAGATATTGCCAAATATTCCCCAGGGACAAAATTGCCCAGCTCTACCTCCTCCACCCCTCGTCCCCTGTTGAGAGCCACTGTCCTGCACCAGCCCCACAAAGCATCTGACATCCACCCTGGGCTACCCTTCCCCACCTTCTGTGCCTTCCCACTGGACTCTGTCTAGCTGCTTCCACAGTAAATACTGTGACTGTGTTGGTGATGACCACAGGCAAGAGGATGGACCTCCAACTGCTCCCAGGGAACCCAAGAATGGAGCCTTCCCCTGAGTGCGAAGTTAGAACATTTCCCACCAGCTCTACCTGTGTTCTTTTTTTGGATCCATCTCCCCTTCAACACCTTGTTATTTTTCTCACTCATACACAGGACGAGGAATACGCATTTGGAATATCCTGAAAGATGAAGAGGCGCTGACCCTATTTCTCATTAAAAACATTGGCCTGTCCAGCTCATTTGTCTACCTGCTGGTCAACTCCCGAGTCCATGTGGAGGAGGTAGAGGGGTGTCCTTGGTCAGTGGTCTCTGGAGGGGAGGGGTAAGCACTGCGCCTGCTAAAATCAAGGGAGACCTTTGCTTTTTCTTTTCTTTCTTGCTTTCCCATTCAGAGTCCATGACTGATGCCCTATATTTGGAAAGATACCTGGGGGGTCATTGAGATGACCAGAATTCCCATCCCAAGATCTGAAGCAACATGACCTCACAAGGCTTGCAACTCAACAGGTTTTCATAACTGAGAGGAAGCTGAGCCATCCTGAGGCTCCCCCTCCCGTGTAGTGGCTAAGGAAACCGAGGTCTGTCTAATCATCCACTAACCAAATATTTAGAGACAGTTGTAGGTACTTAGAATCCAGCGTGAAGGCAGTAAGCAAAGCCCCTGGCTCAGGAGCTCACATTCCAGTGGGGTGATAGGAGGTAGTCACGCACGCACGCAGAGACTCTGGCATGTGTCTCACACTTGTCAGGAGCTGTTGGGAGGGGACAGGAGGGCTGTGGGAGGGGGCAGTTTAAGGGGGACGGTCAGGGAAGCACGTCCTGAAAGGTGTATTTGAGCGGCCCTCCTGATGAGAAGGCAGCCACTGGAATACCTTCAGCTCCTGCTGAGAATGGGCAGCGCAGTCTCTGTGGACTGAGGTCACCCTCCCTAGGGTACAGAATCTGATGATGGCCACAGAAGGGCCAATCTCTGCTTTCCTGGGCCGCTCTCTTCCCAGTGCCAGGCAACCTCTTCTACAGTCCTAGCACATTTCTGATCTATATACCTCTCCAAATTTGTTTCATTCATTTTAATGACTTCCTATAGTTAAACAGACCATTTTTACCACATTCATATGACATTCACATCTGTTGGCTCTTTTGTCCCTCGTGATAATCCTGAGATGGGTCAAATAGCAGACGGGAGACTGAGGTGTCTGGTGATGGAGTGATTTTGCAAACAATTGTCAGAGCCAGAGTCAGAGCAAAATCCAGGTCTTCTCTTTGCTAATCCTGAGTTTCTTAAGATGGTCCAGGGGTTCTCAAAGTTCAAAGACCAGTAGCACCAGCCACACTTGGGTGCTTGTTAGGAGTGTGAATTTTTCAAGCCCCAACCCC